AAATAACTTACCCAGAAAAGGAACGTAAACATTATCATAGGAATCTTCAGACATTCCAAGTTAATGAGCCCTTTCTTCTTCTTTGAGTTCAGTTCCAAATGTCTTTCTCTCTCCATGGTTGATTATCACTAGACCATCAAATACAATCGGCCGTGTTTGTTTGCTGCTTGCGCGATGTACAAATGAGCTAAGTAAGCCTGTTGACTAAAAATGACTTATTAAGTTCGCGATTGGCACGTAGTGTTGTTCTCACTGGAATGAATGAAATGATGACAATGAAAAGTACTGATGATGAGGCTGATGAGTGACTTGGAAGTGGAACCAACAGTTAGGAAGGGTGGGGTGAGCTAGGACGACTGCATTACTCCTTCAAGAGGAAAACTACTTAAATGTATTATCAATGATGACAAGTATTGTCTCTGTTATAATTATTGTAAAGAACTAATTTCAACTTAATAACAGAACACTAACAAAATCTATAGGATATCGTTAGACATCGAACTGAACAAAAATTTACAAGTCTTGTTGCATATAGTCACTCTGAGCAGAACTTATTGTTATAGGCCTGTTGGAGAAGACGGGGGAGAGCCGGGGGCAAAGCGACATGGAATAATCCTTTCAACGAAATCTGATCATTATAAGCTAGGATTCATTAAATTCATATCGGTATTTATTGTATGCAAGTTATAAATTGTTACATATGAAAAAACCTTAGTATTTGATAGCAAAGGCCAAAGAAAGCTTAGTGTTGCAACCAAATATGCAACGCCAAAGAAGTCTTATCCGTAGCAATTAATGCCAAGGTAAGTGGCATAGGACAGTAACATGTACATTGATATTATTGAGTCCGCTAGAGCCCACACATATGTTAGCCTCACACAAGAGCTAGTATAATAAATTATACACATAGATAGCACTACAGAAATCAAGGCAGGGAGCTACATCTAGCTTGCTGCTCGATCGTCGATTCACTAACTAATTATAACAAAATACAATAGAATAGTACAATAAAAGGGTAACTTGTTTTATAGTCCAGCTAATTGCCTTTATAAGTAACGGGTCTGAAATGCCTTCATTGTTTAATCTACCGATTACTAGCTTGAACCTGTTTCATAAATCTTTTAATCCATTTCAATTAGAAGCCGAAGCATTAAACGAGATTTGAGCAATAGCAAAAATCATTTACAAGAGCTGTTTTAAGTTCAACATCAATACTAAATGTTAAGGGAGTACTCATTGAAAGATACTTTGCGGCAAGGCTTATATTTCGCAAACAGCAAGATTATTAGATCAAGGAATTCGAGTCACGAAAGTTTAAAGTTTCCCGGGGGACAGGGGCTACTCCCTTTGTCTAAGTGATCGGAGGTCGGTTTTGAAACAGTGACTGGACTACATCTTTCTTCTGTTCTTTCATGTTTGTTTAATAAAGAAAATGAATAACAATTGCATTGACCCTAAAAATGAAGGTACGGAGTCGCGTTACGTCACTCTAACTGTTACTTTCACACGGGAAATATTTTCAACCCTAAAAGGATCGCCCATCACCCCTACCCGGCTCGGAAAAAAGGAGTACCCACACCCAGGTCAAGTCTGTTCACGTCCTTACAGTGAACCGCATATGTATGGTCCAACGCGTATATATTGCCATGCAGTCGTTCACATAGTTGTACGTGAGCATGAACAAGGTCTAAAACGTAGTTAGTGCTATTACAAGCCGTTGATAAATAGATAAAGCACGGCCAAAAATTTAAAAAGGCGTTCAAAGGCCGCGCGGGAATGATTGATTTGCAGTCTAGACTGAAAACCCTTTTTAAATCGTGTTTAGCAGCTCTGCTAAAGTGTCTTTGGTTGAGTCTTACTGCTATTAGAATTATGAGCTCCGCTTATACATGGTCAACCTGTAGGGCCGTAACCAGAACTTTTACAGGGAGGGTGCACATCGAATAAAATCGGACCATTGATCGGTTTTTATTACCAGCTCAGTGGCGTAGAGAGATAGATGCATGAGCGGACCTTAAGCTTTTAGTGCTCCCCCCTGGTTACGGCCCTGACCTGATGAAGCTTTGAAAAAATTTAGCAAGTGAACCGACTTGAATTAATCGTCCTGAGTCAACATTAATCCCACCTGACCTTAAGCCACCCCTACGTATCCCGTACAGTATATCGTTTCGCCATGAAATGACAAACAATGGGCTTCTGAACGTTGACAGATCTAGAGCCTGGCTGAGAAAAAGACGAGAGAATTAGCGACTGTAACTACAAACTAAATCAGTGCATTGAGTCATGTAGTTGCACCCCAATTGAGAAATTATTGGATCCTTCTCAACTTGAATGCGAGGCTTACCGATGGAAATGCCAAAGAAATCGATCATGCACGCTTTTTCTCTATGGAATTTGAGGCATATAGTTTTTGTATTTCCATGTTAACCTCGCACTCGGATGATCATTTTAAAGAAGGATCCATATAACCAATCCCCGACTTTAAAAGTATTAAAGAATATTTTAAACAATGTTTTAATTAAAGTCAATTGAGAACTCTGACTATATGTAATGTTCATACCGATTCATACCTTATGAGGGAAAATAGTGATTGAAGGATTCGAAATGGATATTCTGCACCGCGATAGCGTGCACGGGTTCATGCGAACTGTGAACTACTTCTCGAAACTAAACGACGAATGGCCAACTTGTACGTCCGCTCGTATACGCGTATACACACCACAAGGTTCCCGGTTGATTTCAAAGCAAAACTCGCAAATGCACAAAAACATAGGCTTTGGGATAAATTTAAGGCCAACAATAGCAATATGGCATCTTTAAGTTTTCAAAGATGGATCATGTACTTTCGTATTGTTGGTGGAAAAATTACGCGCTTTAATGCGCAACTGACACACAATACGGGCACACAATTTAGTAGCATTTTTTGGCGTGACTTACTCCGCCATTTTCGCAATTTAAAAACTTAATTCACTTTAATTTAAGTTCCGAAACGAGGGTTACAGCAAAATTAGCGATGGGAAACCGATGTAATGTAAAACCTTTTTTAAAACTTTAACGTACGTTTGCGTGATTATGACGTGTGCACTCTGAGTCCTTGTTCAGTTGCATAGGACATTTGCATGCAGCAACAACCAGCTAGGAGCGCGGGATTATATAGTGTTTTACTTCGGTTAAAAACAAGATATTGCAATAATAATGCAAGGTATTTCGTAACTGGATACAACAGTGAAAAATTAAAATGAGACTATGTTGAAGACATTCTATTTGTGTACAATATATGAACAAAATAAAAACTGAGAACCATCCACTCCACATGCCCTTACCAAAACATCAAGCCAGGAATCGCACATATAACCTAAGATCTAAACAAGACTATGTATATCTATTTAAGAACTTAACTAAATGCAGGACCACTAGAGCAGAGAATCTTTTCATGTTCAATAAGTATTTTTAAATTTGTAGTAATAAGTTGTTGACATCTCAATTTAATTATTCTAGTCCTTATAATTGTTAAAAATGCATTTCATATTATCCGTTACCATATTAAATTTGTAAATTATCATTATTATCATTTTAAAAATCTAGTTGTAAATCGTTCGTTAATTCAGTTTTTACTGCAACTGATCTTAAATAAACTATTAGGTTTATCACTAAAACAATTAGATTAAGGAATTAGGTTTTAGCTTATTGTAAAGGGCCAAAGGTTTGATAGCATAGTTTTGTGCCACCCTCCGGTTAAATAATGATAATAATAATAATAATAATAATCATCATCATCATCATCATCATCATTATTATTATTATCTTTATTATTATTATTAATTGATTATGTGCAGTTTCTAAAACGTATATAGATGCAAAAAATCTATGACCTATATAGGGCACCATCAGAAAAAATCCGTTAACATTTGGTCAGCTACGATTTCAAGCTCACGCCCCCTCATGTGAGCCCAAATTATGTCTCAAAAACACGGTTTTTGGATCTTTTCTCAAAATAATGACTCACTATCTAGGCGAAAAACAGAAGTGGATTCAGTTAATTCAACTATTCACGGACTGTATTATGATGGTTTAGATTGAATTCTATTGAAAAAAACCACCGTAATTTTTGAGTTGAATGTACGCTACTGGATGTATTTTACAAGAGAAAATGCATGACGAACCGGGGTCAAGCTAGAAAATCGTCTCTCCTTGCTATAAAACAGAACCTGTCAAAAAAACAGAAGTGGATTTGAAAACCCCGGGCTTTCCTGAACATTTTGGTATATAATTCATAGGAATTTGTTAAAATTTAGAACCGTATTTTTGCTGATTTTATAAGCTCATACCGTCTGTTGGCCTATACATTCGCCTCTCATTTCTTAGGTTTCGTAGCCTCGAAAACACGCTAACTACTAGTTAGCGAAAGAACAGAAGATTTACGGGTCATTTAGGATGTTTTGTCACCCAGTTTACTTGTGCTATATAACTTTACTTTTAAGAACAACCTTTTGCTTTGGAAAGAGAGGAAAAAGACCGAAAAGAGCAAATATTCCAAACAAGAGAATATTTTCTCTTGTTCCAAATGTATGGGCAATTTTTTCCAATGAAGTATTCCTTGCGATTCATGCCAGGACGATGGGTATGTAATAAACATATGTACAGCATTCAAGCTAGTATTTGTGCAAAAATGCTTTTGATTAAAATCCTCGAACACTTTTATACTTATATACTTATAAAAACTTACGCATTTTTCTGCCAACTTTTAAATCGATGCATGCGCATTTGTAGCTTCCATGCAGGTTTCCTCTCATAGAGAAAAATATTGCATTTCATCAATCGTACCTAGTACCTAGTCTTTATTTTTTACTGCGCATGCTCGACGCAGCTAAAAATAAAGGCTCTATGTACGATCATAGTTAAATGGAGTCCATTACTATGGTACGATATTGATCAATCCTGATAAAAAGCTATTTTTCGGAGGCAGGCTTACTATGAGAGCCACAAAAGCAACTTTTGGGTGATATGACAAAAGCAAAAGTYTTTATTTATTTATATTTTTTTTCACAAAAGTTAACCTTTTTACTTACAAATTATGTCAATAAAGTAAAAAAAAAAGTTGTTTGTGGATTTCAGACAAAGACAAAAACTGCTTCATGCTCATTCTTCGTTAGTGTACCACTGATGTCAAAGGGCCTGATGTAAATATGCGATAGGCCGAGGCCAAGTAGAGTGCACACACTTGCTGTGGTTTCCATATTCTGCGAACTCGGTAGTTTTAAATCAAACAGGGTCGGCACCTTTTATGTTCTTGACTGGTGGCAGTGAAAATCAATTTCACAACAAGCCGTTGAAATGTCGGAGTTCGCAGAATATCGAAAACCGCAGTAAACGCAGTGAAACAGTTCAATATATAGACCCCTTGCAGCACTTCGGAATGCAGCTCAATTTTGAAGGCAAAACAATTCTCAGGAGATTGAAATTCTTGTCCTCCAAATTGAGCTCCTTCTTGATGTTACATGCAAGGGGTCTATTGTTTATTTAGAACAAGTTAGTGCTAAATATAAAGTAATGTCTAAAGAAAATGCAAAAAGTGAAAAAGCAGAAGGAAGCAAATTCTCGTGCTTCAGTTTCCACCGCAGCTGTCCTTCAACAGTGAACAGTCTCTTATTTAAGAAAATATATGTACTTTCATAAATATACCGAAAGTTTTAACACAGTAAACAAAATAGCCTATTTACCATTATGCATTTATGATAATTAAAATCGTATGATAACTAAAATAATGCAATGATATCATATACTTATAACCCAAAAGTAAATATTCTTAAAGTGTATAAAAATTAAAAATATACACTGAAAAATAATTTATAATTTTAACATTGCTAGACTGAACAAAATACCAATATTACTTTTGGTCTGGATTTCTACAAAGCGTTTTTCACATAAAGAGAGTTGGCTGACATAACTGGAGATGGCAGCCAAAATAAACTAGTCATAAAGTTATTGTCAAATCAAGGTACGCCAATATGGCTGCCGTGACGTCAGGCCATAGTCCGAATGGGCCATTGTCTCGTAGACCTGGAGAGCAAGAGGCCTAATTGTTTTAGTATAAACCCTCCAATAGGTCAAAAAAATGAATACAATGTTCAAATTACTTTATAATAATTCAGTCTTGCGTTGTTTTGGCTTTCAAAACTGCTACTTTTCGCTTCACTAATAGACCACTAGTAGCTCAGCCAATCAGAGTGCAGGATTTGTTACACGATTAATTGGTTTATACTAAAATATCTTTATACACATAGTTTATTAATGTATTTAGAAAATGTGCTAGATATGTTCTAGATATGTACCAAGGTAATATAGTGTTATATTGAGTACCCTATCTATAACTTCATCCAATTATATATTTCCAACAAAAGTTAGTTTTATAATACAGGCTACTACATTCATAAAAATAAAAAAGGAATTTCAGAAGTAATTCATAAAATTCAAGTTTGTGCTACAATATTTGATATAGCCCACTTTTGGTTAACATCTACAGTATATCCATCATAACAACATAGACTCGCATTTTATAGTAATATATACTCTTTAGAACTCCGGGCCACCTGTGGCCTTGACTTGTATCAAACTAGCAAATGATAGTCTTACTACCAATGCATTCACAAAATTTAATACTAGACCTTTATCATAAGCAAAGTCTGTGTTTCTAGGCATGATAGCACATAAATTCATTCCTATATTCCCCTTATTATATACCAAAATCCTCTTCAAATAGACCTTATCAGCTTGGGTGTCATTTTTTCCCATTTCAGAACATGTATCATTTCATTAGAACATTTCTTCGTTTAATTACTGTTGCACAAGACAAAACATTTGAATATGAATATTACTCAAAAAGAAAAAAAGAAAAAAAAAAAATCTAAATCTCAAGAGAAAGAAAACATTATGGGAAAACATAATGTCCATGCTAAAAATGTCTATTTTTTCCCCAATGAAATGTTTTAACTTCTTTGATAGCAATAAGTTAATCAGGCCAAAAAAATATGATAATAATAAATTCTGGTAGTTGTAGTTATATCAGGTCTAATAAGGGATATGAGTGGTAGGAATATTAAGAATGAACAAGTAATATAATGACTTAGAATAGCAGCTGTGATTTTACTCCAGGACCATGCATGCAGTACTAAGGTAATATCATGACTTCAATAGACCTGAATGTATCGCAAGAGGACAATGGCTGTAATGATTCCAAAAAGCTAGGAAACAAAAACAAGGTATGTTATTATAACATATGTTAAAAAGCTGTTTCTGGATGCACCTTGCTCAAGCAAAAGCATTGTTAGGTTCAAAACATAGAACACAGAAGCTAAAACCAAAAGGCATTCTGGGAAATGATAAATTATCCATTGATGAATTCATTTGAGATACACAGTCAATATGAACAGTGCAACGATTTATGAACATTCCACAAATTGTATCACTAGACAGCTCTAAGCAACATACTTCCCATGTAAGCATTTTTTTCTATGTCTATGTCTTGAATCCAACAATGATTTTGCAATTGGGTTTATAGTACAGTTGTACCATTGATTGCACTGCCTAAGTACGCCAGAAAAATTACAATGAGTGTGGTGGGGGAAAGCCAATAAAAATTTTACAAACCATCACAATCACAGCAAAGGCATGCATACAGCACCAAACTTTCATAGTCATACAAAAACTGCTATATGTACTGACATACCTGGCATAGCCCAATCCCAACACCAACACCAGCCAAAATAGAGTACTGCTCTTTGAAAAACGTTTCCAGCATAGTAAGACAGCCCTGGGAAATATATTGAGTTTTAAAATTATGACTTTATGACCAGCAAAGAGCTTTAACAATCCATTTTAACAACCTAACCTATATTACTTTTCTATTTTTTGAGGGGGGG